CTACTATCCTCTTACGCCGAGTAGCACACCTTTACTCCCAACAGAATCTGACTGTTCTTCATCCAAACTCTGTTCTGCACATGTTTGTGCCTCCAGCAGACAATGTGTCGTATATGCTTCCCCCTGTGAAACAACAAGTAAGTGATTGCCTATAAATTTGAAGCCCTGAATTATTAATAACATTTAGTGTACACTGCCGCATCCCCTTATTTGATCAGAGAAAACGAAATTACTTACGATACTTGACGCCGTAACGAATTAATTTAACAGACTTTGTTTAAACGTGCATGTAGTGAAGAAGTCTTCCATCCAAAAGTGTAAGTCTCACGAGATTCAATATTTTATGCCTTCTTCATAAAGACCCTTTACCTTAGTATCATTACTTCTTACTGATTGCATTTGCTTGCTTCATCGTGCTGCTGTGTTGTGGCGGCTCCCACTTTAATTATTATTCATCATTTGAAATTGAACCTAACGGTCTGCCACCTTTAGAATAAGCAAAAATGTTTGCCTTTGTTGTTTGTCCAAAATAAGAAGCCAGCCAACATCGCCGAACGCCCAGAAGACAAAACTACGGAGTGTTTCTCTTTAGGTTTTCGTTAGGTTACATTTGTCTGAGAATGGTGAGGCAGAAATATAACACAATTTTCTGATCTGAAAGCAGGGTAAAAATTGGACGAGATGTCAATCACTTCCTATTATTTTAGTTCTTCAATTTTTTTTTAAAAATTAAATACATACAAAGGAATTTGTTAGACGCTTGGATACCCATTCAGAACTAACAACTTTTCTAATGCATAACAAATGTTTGCATTGATATTACGGTATATCCCTTGAAACAAATTTTCACACGGTTTGCAGCTATCAACAAATGAAAACAAAATTTCTTGAATTTCGGTGCACGCTTTTGATGCCATTGTAGGCACGCATTGGTGACTTAGGTATTACTTAGTCGTGATTAATGCAAATTACCTGCTTTCATGGCGTTTTCTCGAAAAAAAATTTCTACAAATTTAACAAATGACTTAAAATCGATTGTTAGCCACAATGCAGCCCTTAAATAGGGGCATTACATATATGATGCAGTGCATTTTGTAGTACCAGGGGAACGAAGGGTGTGGCCCAGTGTTGTGGGACGTGCTACGACTTCAGATTGGAGTTGTCTGATTACTAACAGCAATGGCGGTCATGCTGACGCGCCGAGTCCCCATGGTCAGAGCGCCGAGCCTCCGGCTTCGGTAAAACTTCAAAGGAAGCAGCCCCAAAATCGGCGTACAGCTTTCACCAGACAACAGCTGGAAGGGTTGGAGGAGGAGTTCCGCACCAACGCCTATCTCACCCGTCTGCGTCGCTACGAAGTGGCAGTTAGCCTTGGTCTCTCAGAGCGTCAGGTAATTAGGAGTTGACAGGGGTGGGCATAATTCAGTTGATTGATAAAGACTTGTATGTATTAGGAAGACAGCAGCTAAAGTTGAGTAAATCTCGTCCCTTTTTTCATCCTTTACCATAACCTCTACATCTTCCTTTCCTTTAATCTTAATATTTTTCTGTCACCCAATGATCAGGCTATCTTATAGGTAAGATCCTATAAAGTATCATATACCGAAGGAGTTAGTTTAGAGGACAACACGCAAATGGTGACAGTGAATCTTTTAATTGCTTGGATACATCATTGAACAAAAATTTTAATGGTTATCTATTCTCAGGTATCTGTGGATATTTTGTCATTGTTCTAATTGGGGAATTTGTCGCTTAAGCAACACCAAACTCTACAAATCTGACAAAGTTGACTTATCGCCAGAAATGCTTTGAGCAACTGTCACGCAAAGCCCACTCTTGAACTCAAACCTATCAAGCGATACATTTGAAATTTTTTTCCTTAGCTCTCATCCCTAGAAGTAAATCTTAGGCGCTAACTTTAATACATATAAGACCTCTTTCAATCCACATGGAATTTCAGACCTTCTTGCATCAGAGATCCGAGAAACAGATGTAGTGAAAAAACGACTGCTAGGAAACATGAATGTCTGCTGAGCAAGTGTAATGGCCTGCTTATGAATGCTCCAGTTCTCGAACTGGTCATGTTAGTAGCACATAAAAGGAAGCCCTTTATAGTTTTGAAGCATGTCAGAAAAGTAGACATGCTCTCTTACAGTCAGAATGTGAAGACGATTCTTAGCAATTGAAATAGGGCGTAACAAAATGCGCCCCAAGTTTTTCTTTTATGTCGGCCTCAACACGACATGATTAGCCTAAGTTTGTTGTTGTAGCCACTAGCTTCTCATGTATACTGTAGAAAGAGTTTTCATATTTAGGTCTAATTTTTAACTAAAGCTGTTATTTGTGGGGTTGTAAAAGCCCCCGAAGCGATCTCTCTGTGCAACTTTGTTAAGACAATTCTTGCCTTAATAAAAAAACTAATTTTGCAGCTATCACTCCTAATTCTGTTTTGCTATTCTGCATACCTTATAGGTAAAAGTATGGTTTCAAAACCGTCGGATGAAAATTAAACGAATTTTAGGTAAGTTTAAATAAGTTTAGTGAAACCTTTAGATGGAGGAAACCTACAAGGGCATGCATGTTGAATGGACAAGGAATGGAGTGCTATCAGATTTTTAGCATTGCTTGAACTACACGGGCCATTTTGTAATATGATGAAAATAAACATAAATAAAAAAATGACAGAAATGGCTACCTCATTCGTAAAGAAGTATAGGGCAACCCAATATTTGCGTTGGAAAGCACTTATGTGTTTGTCGATGTGAGTTTCAACTAAGTTGGATTTAAATACCGAAAACGCGTGATGTGAATGTTGCACCACAAGTAGAATCTGTTCCTCACGTTATCTCAATAACCATTCACTTTCCCCAAATGATTGGTGACATCCTGAAACGCTCACGGCCAGGGACATTTGGTCTAGTCCCTTTCTAAATATCGTGCTCATTTTCTAATGATAATGACCATAATCTGGAGATAAAATGTGCAACTATTTGCATTCCTCTGAAGCGAATATTACACTGCAGAGTAATGGTAGGGCATCTAATAAGTTGTATATTAGGATCGGTTGTAAGGCAAATTTAAAAGCATTAGACAAATATTGACTCGCTAGGTGGACAATTCAAAATGACGCGTTTAAAGTAATCCGTGGACAGGAAACACAAGTAGAATTCTTGATGTCATACATCAAATTTTATAAGTAAATATAAGGTGTTGTAACTGACAGACGAAGAAATCTGCTGGTGATTTAATAAACTCGTAGGTAACTGAGTGGTCCTTAACTGACAGCCGGGCGTTAATAAAACTGTGTACAGGCAATGGGTATGTATGAAGGCTGAACTGGTGTGAATGTAGGGTTAGGAGTTGCTGGAGATCTTATGAGCATAAATCAAACAATGGAAAGGATGGAGAATATTTTACATCCTCAGGTGTAAAGTTTGTTTTCTGAGTCGGCAGAAGATGAAAAGTTGCAGGATTGTGAGTTCAAGATATTTTGGAGGGGCTCTTTTTGCTGAGTAAAGGAGTGACGGAGAGCCAGCAGCCGACGAAGGAGATAGTGACCCCAGTGATTTGTGTACCATTCCTGCGAGAACCCTCTGAAAAAAGAGTTGAATATCAATCCCTACTGATAAGTAGTCTGTAGTGGTACTCAATAATTTATTAAAAAAAATAGCACTGCAGTTCCGTGAAGATCCCGAATTAGATTACTGTCGCTGAGTAAATCACCTGATAGATATTAGTCAACCCAAATTTTTGAAAAAAATGAGTAAATTTATGTAGAATAGTTTCTTCTAAACTAAATTAGCATTATTCAAATATTATTGACGTGCTTACTAAATAACAAAAGTCCCTAATCACTGTGCTGAGTTCAAGAGTTGGTCTAGAATTAAACAGCAGCTAACAAATAGAAGGCATTAAAATATTTGGAACTCCAACATTTTGATGACAATCGACTTAGTATTTGTAACATGGGACCTCATTGGTTATTCGCAATACGACCAAATATAACAAAGTTATGTGCTTTTCAATTAAAACTAGGTTACTCCGAAATGATCTGTTTCCACACATTATTCCCCTGTTTGGTAGTTGGACAAAAAGGAGATATGGCACAATGGAAACTCAGGTTATCTTAGATAGGAGAAGGATTACCTTTCCAAAACAAGAATCAAGGTGCTCCTTCGAACCTTACTTCAAGATTTGTGGTAAAGAATCCGGTTACAAGTGTATAAAAGTGTAGAACTAAAAATTTACACCGGTTGGATAATTTATTTATTTGGAGAGGTCAGTTTTATTTTACCGCGAGGAACACAAAATTGTGTAACCCAACTGTGCAATAATTGTGCATTTACGCTCATCCTTGCTATCAGTGTCTCCAGAAAACACAGATAGGCGATACCAAATTTAGAGCCATTATTGCCCACTGTGCATTGAGATCCGTTCAGTTTAGGTGGTCAAAATTTGGATGCGACACAAAAACACGGACAAAGACGAAAAAAGGTGCCATAAAATTGGGATAAATTGTAACCGTTTTGGCAATTATCGAGTTGGAGGTGGTCGAGGAATAGAAAATCGCCCAACGTGCCGACACAAAGTTGCTCTGGAAAGAGATTTATCTGGAGTGGATTTGACGTCTACCTTCAAGTATTGCGGGCTCCCATAAAAATCAGGAGTAGAGATTCCGACCAGTTGATGGGTGCAGCTTCGTGAATTATTGATACGTCTGACGAGTAGTAAACTCTTTTGAATGATCAATCGGATACAGGATAATATGTTGAGTTCGCAAAGACAAACATCCGATTAAGTGAGAGAGATATCGATAACCCCAAAGTAAATTAAATGATGGTGGTAGTGCTTAAATTTTTATAACATTCGTTTTTGCCGAATTAACCAAATTTCTTTGCAGCAGGCAACTTTAAAAAGACCGTCTTAGTTGTGGAGAATAGTGACGTATTAATGTAGAGAGAAATATCAAAAACGACAGGAAAGATGAAATGAATCTGGGGTTGACGAAATGGTGCCAGTACTGAAAGTGACTAATTATCTTTTATCGCTAGTTGGTCAACGTAAGAAGATAAAGATTTTTACCATGGTGCATATATCAGCAAAAGTTTTGTCCGGTTCCCTCGAAATTATTTCAAGGTAAGCCCATGGTGGATTGAGGTTGATCTTTCATCATAGTAATACGGACAACCAAGGGGACGAGATGCTGTGATAGACCAAATAGTTAAGTGGTAAAGAATAATTCAATCCAAGCCATTGAATACCTAATAATCCACTGTAGTTAAAAAAATGGTCAAATCCAGGAATGTCGCAGAGATCACGAAATAAATAATACCTGAACTGGGCACCGCAAACACAGGTGACGGAATAAAGCGTAATAGTTTGTTTCAAGCATATTTCGGGGTAAAGCTAGGCCTTTCTGCTACATTTTCTTGTCATATCAGAGATTTCACAGCTTTTTTCGATGACCGATGCTATGGTTGGATCATTAATTTACTAAGAGAATGTCAGTGGATGCGCATGAGCAAAAGCTTGTCTGAACAGATTAGCAACGGATTAATTGCTAATTGTGGATCACCCGTACCTTTAATTGGTCTCTGTTCGCAGGTCCTCTATAAACACGCTCACAATGACATATCAGATCCGTCAATGAACAAGCGGTTTTTTCTTCTTGTGGGATGACTTCATACCCTTTATTTGTTTTCAGTTTTTTAGGTGTCTGTGAACAGCAGGTCCAAAATTAACTGTGGTGCTGTACAAGGGCGCTGACAAATTGGAGCACGTCAAGCTCAGCCAATCCCCTGTCTCTGTGAATCTTAATGGCATAGAAGTAGCCAACCCAAGACAAGAATGGGTGAGAGGCACTATAAAATGAGCGGCGTAGTTAATAAAGTGAACTCGGATGGACAGCGTTGTACAGACCATTCCGGCTTGTGTTGTACTTGTCGTCAAAATACTGAGGCTCGAGTAATCTACAGCAGCTTACCAATGCTTCAAAGGGATATCAATTAATGGCAATTAAGAAACATTGACGGAAGAAAATGGTCTCCATTTCAATGCCTCTGATGGGAACGGTTCGTTCACATCTAGTTGAAGAATCTACGGAGGTGAGAATTGTCGAGACTCCAACAGTGTCTCAACTATGTCTATGTGCACAAACTTGCAAAAAATTGCTGCTGCGATTTTGAAATAATCCAATTTGTCATTTTCCCTTAATTGACCAGGAAAATCTGAACAAAGTTCATGATTGACACATGACAGAAAATTGCTATTTTGATTATAATATCGGTTTGAGATAGTGTAATTCACTTCATTTATCTGGGCAGCAGCTTATTTCCAAGAAACAAGGCAAGGATTTAACTAGTGATGAATGTAGGCCCTGGGGGGTGTTTAGCGATGGCTCCTTTAGCCCCAGAAATATGGTGAACGTCGGTTGTAAGTTTAGCTCAGAAGGAATTACCGTTCAGATAATGCACGAAAGCCATGGGGTAACAGCATGTGCTTAGTAAATAACAAGAATTATGCACTTCAAGAAATGGCAAGAGTCTTTAGCAGCAACGGTTGTCTTAAAAATATGATTCGAGGGGTCAGGATTAGCCGAAGCTTTTGCGAAAAGAACACAACTTTTTGGCGTGGATTTACCTACAGTCAAGTACATGAGTTTTAGGTATGACTTTTGCACAGAATACCTGTAGAACCATTTGACATTTTCAGAAGCGGCCACTGATAATCAAAACATTGTGAAATAAACTTCGACTTATTCTAACATTTTATGAATGCGACCTACTGCAAATAGAGACTCAGATTTACACAATTTTAAAAGCAAAACAATTTTGCCTTCATTAATGCAGTAATTATTGGTACCTATAATTAAGCCTTCAAATGTCTCAATTCTTCAAGAATTGCAGGAAAGGCAGAGCTGATTCAATGCTATCAATTTTTGCCTAGTTCACACAATAAGTCAACCACTAACAAAATCGCACGTCTGTCGTTAATAGAGTTAAGTCATTCGTCATTTGGCTGATGAAGTAAATGATTGAAGACTTCGCGAACGTAAATCTCAAGCCTACTTTATATCAGCCTCCGAGATGAAAGTTACACGACACGAAGAGGAGGGGTTTCCAAACGTCCTCTCGACAAGAAGGTGCTCTTTAAAGAAGTAGGCAGATGGAAGAAGTTCCTGCGGAACCTCAGGCACCACTACTCCGTAGTTCACGGAGGTGCTTACAATAGCTACGCATGCCACTGTATCCCCCTCAGTTCCATCAATGTTCTGTTTACTCAGAACCTGTTTTCCACGAAGAAGACGACATTCACGAGCAGGTTGCGGCGGTAACGCGTTGAGCAGCACTCGATGAATCTGGACCTGGCCTGGAACCAACTCCTCCATTACTTCCGATCGCAGAACGTTTTCGTCCCATAAGACACTGGAGATTAAAAGTCACCTATTTACAAAGACTGCATGGTATTTCCTTTTGCATGAATTAGGAAACATGCTAATCAAACTGAATGCCAATGAAAAGCAAGGTCGAAAAATGTAGTTTTCCTTGAACACATCTACACCAACATGAAATATATATTCTAAATACTTATGCACATGCGGACTGCGAACATGGAGCCTACATAGTCAGTCTTCTTATTTAAGTTGACATTTTTCCCACAGGATGACACAACCACTTCCGTTTTCGCTCAGCTATCTGGTTTTATTTGTAAGTGTTACTTGCCTCACAATTAGCAGTCAAAATTAAATATGCTCCAAGTACTAGTCATGCACAAAACAGATGTGTAGAAGAGGGACGAGATGAATTGAGTGGTAGAATTTTTCAGGGGCTACTGATAGTCTAAAGGCGTAATTAATGGAATGAATAAATCATTACAACTCAAAGGAATTGGATGTGAAATTAAAAAAGCATAACAACGCGTTAAAAAGTAATATTTAGCCTAGTCCAATGAATATAGAGTCTAACATACACGTGCATTTTGTTGAGCAAAAAGAGGGCAGTAACATTGGAAGGCCAAACATAGTGGTTGCAAGTAAGAGAGAGATGATGATATACACATTGCCTAAATTCATTGACACATGTATGCATTTGGCATGACTAGAGCAATTATGTGTAAGAGTCGGCAAAATGTGCCACTGCATGAACTGCTGACCTAGAGTTGGAACTGTACATGTTCAAAATTGGGGTAACGTGACGTGAATTGGGATTACGTGGGAAGCACGCGAACTGAGCGTTAGCAGTGTGTATTTCACAAACAGATGCGCCTTAATG